CCACCAGCAAGCTAAATTTGGACTTAAACTATTTTTGAACATCAGCTTTTAGAAGACACTTTGTCAATGTCCAGCTAGTTTTTGTCTTTTGCTTTTGAACAGAAAGTTTAATAGTATATACCAATGAGGTGACACTGTGTATGTCTCTGTTCTCCTTTACACTGTGTCCTATACCTGGCTTTCCCTTGCTAGTAATACCTCGTTCTTATCTCAAAAAAATTCCTACCAAGATTTCTCCTTGCCCTGATTCAAAGGAGCACAACATTTTCTGTTTTACGTGGCCTGAATGGCTTCGCTGACAACTGTCTTTCCTCATATGGGCTCAGTGGTCTAATTTGCCTGTTCAATGGAAAAGACAACCAAGTGCAAACACAAAGAAAAATTGGCTCTTTTTTTGGACATATTTTAGCCCCTGAAGGAAAAAAAAGGAGACTGAGGAGGTAGAAAATACAGTAAGAGAAACAAGATCTGGCTGGAGTTCCTTCTGTGAATTTGTGAGGGGTTTTTGTCTGCTTGGTTTGTTATGTTTTGTTTGTCTGTTTATCAACTGGTGAAACTTGTTGTTTTGAATGTAAATGTTCCTACTAAAAGCTCAGGAAATGATGGACAGGTCTAGGATAGCAGTGATGTTTGTTTGGGAGGAGAAAAGACGAAGTATAATCTTGTCTAGTGGAAACAAGAAGTTTGGGGCAGGGAGGAGAAGCCTAGTGAGGGTGAAGAGCCATCAAAGATTTCCCAGATGGATCTACCAGGGGCAGGCTGCATGTGTCTGTCCTTCTGTGCCTGCTTTCCCAAACAGGAGGCAGAGCATTCCCTTCTAGACACCCCATGGATGTGTCCTGTGTGTCACCTCTGAAGGGCAGTAGTTCCCACAGATGGAGAGAGACATCCTTCTGTGCTTTCCTGGGAATGCTTGAGCAGATTGTGCTCTTCAGGGTGATTAGTTTCTGTCCCAAATTGCAAACAACAGCTTTATGAGGTTAGTCAAACAGTGGTTTATCCAGAGGAAATCTTGTGAAGCTTGTGAACTGATGGCTTTGTGACTGACAAAAATGGATTTTGAATGCTCACATATGGTGCTACCAGGCCTGGATTTTGTTGTCCAATGCAGTTTTATTTCAGTAGGAACAGTGTTGAAAATGTTTATTCATCACCACACATGAAAACAAGAATCTTCTAGCTACTCCGTTCCATCTCATTATGTTTATTTAAGCATGGTGAGAAACACCATGAGGAGAAGATTTTTGAGTTATTTTGCTCTATTTAAAAATAGATTTATGACCGTGGTGGTGGGCTAGGCCTGACTGGCAGCTAAGCCCCATTTTTTTCACTCTTTCATCAAATGGGAGAGAGAATCTGAATGGCAAAAGTGTAAACAGTTGGCGGGTCAAGATCAAGACAGCTTAATTAGTGACAAAAAAAGCTGCATGAACAAGCAAAGGGATTTGTTCTCTGCTTCCCATTGGCAAGATGTTTCTCCTGGAAACCAGTGCCTCAGCATGCATAAGAGTTACTTGGGAAGGCAGGTGACATAACTTGAAACACCTGTGACTTCCTCCTCCTTTCCCCAGAATTTATTGCTAAGCCCAATGTTGTAGTTTGGGATATCCCTTCAGTCAGTTCAGGTCAGCTGTCCTGGTGAATCCTGTCCCTCTCAGGTGCTGGGTACCCAAAGAGCAATTGCTCTTATTGAAGACTGAGGCAAAGAAGACATGAAGTATCTCAGCCTTTTCCTCTCCTTTTTCACCACACTTTCCTCCCGCTTCCAGTGAAGGAAGGAGATTCTCTTTAGACCTCCTTTTGTTGCTAATGTGTTTATTGAAATATTTTTATTTGTCTTTTACAACTGTAGCTAGATTAAGTTCTAGCTGGGCTTTGCCCTTTCTTATTTTCTCACTGCATAACCTCACAATATCCTTGTAGTCCTCCCAGGTTGCCTGCACTGCTTCCAAAGGTCATAAATTGCCTTTTTATTTCTGCATTCCAGCTTCTTGTGAGGCTTTTCCTCCATCTGTTGCAGTGGTTCCTGCTATACTGGTTCCTATTAACTCATATCATGGCTTATGAGAATTTAGAGGTATGTTAAAGAGCAAGTTTTCTAGATATTTCATGGCATAAAAATGTCTTGGCCCTGGGTATACCATCAGGGAACCTGGGGGTACCCTGGCTGTTCCTGGTCACTCAGCTGGCTTCCCCCACCTTGCACGTGGCTCAGAACAACTTCAACCCCTCCAAATCCTCCCTCCCTGCTCACAGGAAGGCTTCCTTCCCCAATTTCTTTTAACTTTAGTTTATTTTCTGCTTTTTAGCTTTTGTTTATTTTCTGGTTTCTAGATCCAAACTGAGTTTCTCGCCCAAGCACAGATCTTAGACATGAATCTTTCCAAACAACTGCAATCAGAAATATTTCGCAGTGAAATTATGATGTGTTTGCACTCATGAATACATTGACTAAAAGGCCAAGTTTCAAGACAGGGAAAAAATGAATGGAACACTAAAGAGTAAGAAATAGTTTGTAAGCAGAAATAATGAGCATAATTTATATGTAATTGTGAAAGTGATTGTTCTCATGGAATTTGGGTTGTGGATATTAATAAAGGATGACCCCTAAGAAATAACTTTCAAACAAACACTTTCTCCAGTATCTTTGGTTTTGGTAAAATGAGCATTTTTGAACTTTTTCTGTATTCTAGACTGATTCCTGCTGCCTTATTTGTGTAGAGCATTTGTAACACATTAAAATATTCCTCCTGCTAGAGCCTGAGCGAATGCTTGCACTCAGCAAATCCCTCCAAAAACATTTTAAGTACTCAGCATTTTGTTGCTGCTGTGAGATTTCTCTGTCATGTTATGTGTGTAGTTTTCCATGCCTGCTTTTTAAATTCACAGTGTGAAAGGTCAGGCTACGTCAGGTCCAATCCCCAGTCAGACATGAGTGCTGCTGTATTTTCTGATGGCTGACACCAGGAAGAAAAATGACCTCTCTCATGTTTTTAAGCATCTGCCTTAAGATTGTTTCGTAGGAGGCACTTGACCTCCTAACATGGAGGAACATGCTCTTTCTATATAAGAGCAGGGTCAGGATTTAATTCCAAATTAATTTTTTCTTCCTCTTTTAGTACTGCTTACCATAGTCCCTGGTTACTGTGATTATTGTTGTGGACAATTTGCATTTATGAACAAATGTCCAAAATTCCCAGCCACCATTTCAGGCAAAAAGATACCTTCCTTCTGGTGTTCTCAAGAAAGTCTAATATAGAATTGGCTTGTAAACTATACGCAAGTGTACCTTCCAAACAGTTTTTTCAAGTGAGTGTTTGGTGTACTGACAGGGAAGTTGAGAGAGGTACTTGCACTGCTACATGCAAATATAGCTTTTTCTCTCAGCCAAAGCTTAAGCGAACATCATACTTTAGAGAAATTTGGAAAATAATCAACAGTCATATTTATTTCTCTGTGTACATTCCATTTCTCTATTGAATGAACTATTAAGGAAGGAATTGAACAAAGATGTGATAATCTCTTCCTACTGATGACAAACAAACCTGTAGTAGAAGATATAATAAAATTGACAAAGCAGCATGAGAGAGGAAGAATGAAAGCTCAGATTCTTGCAGCTTGAAGCCAGGACATACTCAAAATTTTACAGCTGACGTAATTTGACAGTTCTGATGAAATCCTAGGAGTATGTATGCACATTCAGCAAAAAAATATAGCCATGAATTCTATCTGTCTTGACAGGCTGCCACTTGAATGGATACTTGATTAATATTATCTTTATTCACAGTGCTGCTTGGCATGAGCAAATGAATTTCAAAAAATCGAGCTAAATGCTTTCATGATTCACTATTGCAGGAAGGATACAGTGCAAACGAGACCTGGAAAATCAGTCCTACATTAAACACAATCCATCACTTTTCCAAAGGTTTGGCTCATTGGGCTATACAGGTAGACTTGTACATTACAATAATCATTGGAACACATATTTTATATAAATGCATCTTAAATTACTATTCATTTAGAAAAATGCTTTACGGGTTTGCTGAGTTGGGTATTTGTCTGAAAAATATACTCTTCTGTTTTATGAATTCTAGGCTATCATTTATTATACTTTTATTTACTGCTGATTACGGCTCCTAAATACATTAACTCTCTTTATAACAACTCAATCTAGAGCAAAAAGGATCCACCACAAAAGCTGTCCTATCAGCAACCTGTAATTTCACAAAGAAAAGGGCTCTAGGAGTAAAGTTAGGGGCACTTATTTTAATGTGCTTTTGTTATACTACTTCCAACTTTCCTACTAGCAATGTTTCGCTGTTTCTAGGGACCCATTTAGAATATGATGAAGCCTTCAGTTACAATTTCCCTCTCTTGTCATTTTTCCTGCACAATTCAAGTTGCTGTTATTTGGCTTGGCTTCTCCTGGAAGCTGTCAGTGATGGTTTTGGTTGCAACCAGCATCATAATACTGGAAATACTGACCTTCTGGCTTAAAAGGAAGGACACCCATCTGGGATGTTTCTGTACTCTCTTGCGTACAGGCTGGCAGTCTTTTGGCACAATTGAAGCTGTGTGAGATTTGGAAAGAGTTGTGCTAAGGTTTCTCAAGTTTATACTTGAAATTCAGCTCACAAAGGGCTTGTCAATGGAGCAGATTTTCCCTCCTGGCCAAGAAACAGTGATAGAGGTGAAAGCATTAACCAGCTGGTGAGAGGAACCAAAGCCTGAAGATGATGTTCCTTCAAGAAAGCATTCCCATTATGCTCTGGAGATTTTCACCTTGCAAATCATGGGCAGTGCTCAGGGGCTTGCGCATCAGTGTCATTAGAGATGCCTTGGGACACCTGATAAGGCTGCAAGAGACCTGCACCCTTTGGCTGTAATTCAACTGGAACTAGGGAGATGTCATTGGCACAAGATGTCCAATGTCTGTTTGGCAGATTTCTGTCTATATCCCCTCCCAGCTGAGTGCCCTGGGGTTGTTGTAAGGACAGGGCAGAGAACAGAGAAGGGAAGTTCACGTGATGTATTCTTAGAATGTACTCTACGTTAGAGAAGGTGTACCACATCTCTGCCACAGCTACTTATATCAAAATCATGTTTTACATAGCATTTTATGGGTGTGCCTTTCAGCATGTGGCCTTTCCTTAGGACAGCTGCTCTGAAAATGTGCTCCTGGCCCTACATGAATTGTGACCTGGAGAAGAGGAAGCTTGAGCCCATCAGGGCATGGATATTTCGTGAGTGAGCAGATATGTAGATTTATGTTTGCCTTAGAGACTGGAAGGTGTTCTTTTGCACTTTGAGAAGGATTGATAAAGGTGGAGATTGCTCATAGAGATGTTCCCCAAAAGCAAGAAAACTGTGCTACAAAAAGTGAAGCGACTTACTTAATGTTTATTCATAAAAATACATTTAAACACAGTTTTCTTTACTGCTCCTTCTAATCCTCACACTGACACAGAGTCAGAGGCAGACTGGGTATAATGAGGGTCTCTATTTAATAAAACAAATAGAAGGAACTGTTTACTACACAACAACCCACGGTTAAAAAAGCATGTTCCCTTTTATTTTCTTTATTCACTTATTATTTTTCTATTGTTTTCCTAAGTCATGAACAAGAAAATTCAAGAGCATTTGTTTCATTTTTTTTTTCTGAGAACGGAAAATGTTGTTGCAGTTTTTGTTTGGACATGTACAAATTTTCCTTCCCAATCTGGGACAAGGTGGTTTGGAAATTGCCTTAATAGACGGCCCTGGGAACTGTTCCCAACTAATGAACACTATTAAGTAGCCAGATCTAGTTCAAGGATGATTACTTTGGTAATTCTGCATACAGGCACATGCTGGTTTTGCTTTGCAGTATAATTAGTCTCTGCACCTGCTTTATTTTAAATGTAAGCCATATGCTTGGTTTATGAAAACCAAACATCTGCCATAGAGTTGCTAAAATATGTTCCTTAAAATAAGCCTCTGATCTGTTGCTATATATCTTAAAAGAAATAAAAATGCATATTGATATTTTAAGACTGAATTTATGGTTGCTCCTCATTTAATTCACAGCTTTTCTCAAGAACTGTACTTTTGACATGCATTACATTACTTTGTCTAAAAATGCCTTTTATACTTCTGAATCATCTTTCACATATTAACCACAAACCTTAATTCTCTCCAGGAGAGAGTAGATCTCATGAATTTCTCTGTTTAATAGTGGGATTGAATCCTCTTGACCATTGCCTAATGAGGTTTACCCTGGAAAGATTTAAGCCGGGTTTGTTTCCTGTCAGTTTCTAACAGAGTAAGAGGCACTGATTGATGGAATGACCATTTAAAACTCCACACATATTTGGAAGCTGCCATAAATTTTCTTTTTGCAAAGGTATTTGCAAGAAACATATTAAAATGTAACAATAGAGTAGATGAATGTGAAGGTCAGATTGATTTTTCTGCTGTAACAAAAATCTTAGTACCCTAAGTGGTGATATGTTTTACTAATGAGAAGAAATATTATCCTTCATATTTCTGAACAGTGTATTAAGTTTGCTGGAAGTTTTTACTTTACTCTTCTGCTTACTATGACTAGAAAATACATTTATTATTAATTTTATGATTAATCATTTATTTTATGATTAATTTGTCTAGTCTATGCTAAATTTAACTGTACCACTTCTGCTTGTGTTAAAATCAGCAAGCCACCAAAAGAACTTGATAGTATTTTCAACATTGTTTTAAAAAGTCAAGTTAGAGAAACAAGCTAAAATATTCATGGTGGGTTCTTTGTCACTAAATAGACCTTAGCCAATAACTGATTGCTTATACAGTTATATATAGAGTGAGAGCAAGAGGGGAAAGTTTGATCTCTCAGGACCCTAAAGTGCACAGTCCATGTTTTCCATGCTTTTCCTCTAAAGTGTAATTTCCAGTTACAAGTGTTGTCTCCATTATAGGTGTGCTTAAAGACATGGCTGTTAAAGACAGCCTGGATTTCTTCTGGCCAGAGATGTGTTCCATGGCAGGAATTAGTTTTAAAGATCCACTGCTTCCTTAACAGCGTTTAGATTGCATTATAGGACAATTTTGGTTCTATTTCTTCTCATGCATTCCCTTCTTGGGTGGAGATTTTATGAAGGTGTGAAGGGAAGAGAGGGGAAATTATAAGAGTGGATGTCTTTGAATAAGGCTGTGAAAAATAACAGTGACATCACTACAATGAAGTATTCATCTTGCCCAGCAGACAACTATATGGAATCATCTTCCATTACAAAATGGAGATTGTTAAAGAAGAAGAATTTCGGAGGGATGTTATAGGAATAAATTATTATAAACTTTATTTCTAATGGAAAAGTATATGGTTTTGTGTGCTGTGTGTTAACAGTAAACTTGAAATATACACCACATTTAACATGACTTTATGTGTGTAATATGGCACTGTTGAAGTGTTTCAATGTTTAAAAAAAGAAAATTGATTCTTATGTCTGAGGATATTCTGAGTTTCATTCTGCAGAAAATTTTGATTTGAATCGCAAGATTTGTTTTAGGAGAGAAGCAACGAACAGCTCTACATGTAAATAAAGTTTTGTAGCAGATGGAGTTGTTCTCTAGCCTTAGAAATATTGTGTAATGTTAGGATTTTAATCTGTTTGTTTTCACATACTTGGCAGACTTCAAGAAAGCTATAAGCCAGCACTGCTAAACTCAGAAGTCAGTGTTTTTTTCTTAATACAATATTTTAAGGTTAACAAAAGAGAGAGAAACTGAGACAGAACTCAAGCCCAAGTTGTTCATTTTTCTGCCTTAATGCCCTAGTGCGTACATTCAAACATGGTTTTATTTTGTCTTATCTATTTTTCAGGGAAAAGTGAAAGTTGAAGTTTGAGCCCCATTTTTGAAAAAGTAGCTAGCAACTAGTAGATGAGGGAGAAACCTTTTCATCCAAATGGCTTTTCTGTGCTTATATATGTTTGCAAAAAGTAACATTTTTTTCTAGCATCTGTCTTCAATGCCATCTGCTACTATGCTTCAGGCAGCTTTGATTGTGTAAACTTAGCTTTGCAATTTGCCAAATGTGGTGGCTTTGAAAATGTATCCCCATTCATCCTCTACTGAGACATTCGGTGCCTTTAGCAGAGCCAGTGCAGAATGTACCAGCCTCATCTCCAGTGAAAACATTTCCTGTTTCCTGACTTCTGCTTGTGCTTTCTCATGTGCCACAGCCATCAGGTCAAGCCTTAGGGACAGATAACAGTATTCTGTCTATCAACACAAATTCAAATTTAATACACATCTATAGAGATTTTTAATTCCATTATTTATTATTTCTTACATTATTTATTCCATATTTAATTCCATAAGTTTAACATCTTATAACATTATTTTCTTACAGCTATTGAAGGACAAGTTAGTACCATAATAATAAGCAGTGCTACTACCAACACACTCTCCTGTGTTTTCATTGACCTGAATCAAAACTTAAACTCTTGTCATTTTCTGGACTGCTTGTGTAACCACCTCTTATGCTGTGCTTGTACAGTTATGTATCTATTCCTCTGTGGGGTGTAGTGGGACAAATTCTTCAAATACTTGCTTTTTCTTGTTCTTGAAAACCTCCCACCTTAAAACCCCATCTTAGGAATTGTTTTAGCCTTTGTCATGGCTCTAGTCAACATGAGCTTCCTGCATTTTAATGTAAGATTGCAACAATGTGAAATAGCCAAGAACAGAAGGTCCTCATAGACAAGTCAGAGAAGTCAGACAAAGGCTCAGCCATGTCAGTATCATGTTGTTGAGAGACTTTCTGATCTTCATAGAGGCAAACTTTGAAGACATGTGTATTGTCTTTTTTAATTCTTTTAAATTTTTTTTTCCCCCACTGAATTGGAAGAAAAACATATGATTTTGAAACACAATAGCCCTCCTTGAACTCTGAAGGAGGAGCAGCATCACACTTCAAGCTAACAGCAAATTGGTAACAATTGAGTTTAACTTAATTATGGTAGTCCATATAAAACTGAGAGAAAAGGATGAATGGTACCTTTACAGCAAAGACATGCTAGCAAGGACAAGAAATGTTCATATATTTTAATATTTTTAGCCATTTTGACAGAGCAAAAGGAAAACCAGGTAATTACTACTGGTGGAAGTGACACCTTACCAGAGTTGACAGTAGGAGTAAATATTGATCTGCCAAAATAATCTGTGTGTGTGTGTGTGATTTTGAGTATCCATTTGGATGACAAACTGAGTTCCCAGTGTCATCCTTTGGGTTTCAGTCCTTGAGATTCAGGACTGAACTGTCCCAGAGGTGGGGTGGCTGTTTTGAGAAGAACCCTCTCCTATGAACAGCAGATGTGATTCTGCCCTTCACTGACCACAGCAGCTCACCCCTGTGAGTGCGACAGCTCTTAGCAGGATTGTGAAAGAGGTGTCAGACCAAAGAGGGTGTGTGAAGTGCTCCACTTGGCTGCCTTGAGATGCCTTGAGCTGTGATCAATACTGATCTCCACTTGAGTCCCAGCGCTCTGGATGAACAGGATTGCAGGCCCTGAGAGACACAGAGGCTGTTTGTCCTGTCATAAACTTCACTCAGGGAAATTGCATGCCTCTGAGAAACCTGTGCAAGGAGTTGCTCCTCCTTCCAGGACCAGACTGCATGGATGTGTTAGTGTGGGACTGTACCAGCAGGACCAGGTTTAACCTGAACTCCTCTCAAATGAGCACAGAGTTTTTAACCTGAATGGGAATAACCTGGAGGTGCATTCCTACTGCAAAAACTAGCAAGATATCTTTGAATCCTGTACCTTTCCAGCCAGTGTGGAAGTCATGAGTGTCTTTACTCACTGCATGCAGTGAGTCTGGGGTTAGGCTGTTGAAGGTACTATGCAAATACCTGGGTGTTATTTGCACTGCAAGAGCTTCTCAAGAATTATGTGAATCACAGGACAGTTTGTTATGGCAAACACAATGTATTCAAGACTTTTTTCTGCTTCATCACATGATTAAAAAAAGTATTTGGTATATTCCTATGTCAGCAAAGGCCTGCTTTATGCATTTTTAATTGCTACAATGAAAAAATGGTGGAAAAAATGTAGACATGAACAAAGCTGTGGGAGTTGGTGGAATAAATACATAGATCAGAAAGTAGTAAAGTTCATTAAATTCTGATGAGTGAACACGGTTTTAAATGCAGATGTTTTAAATCCCATTAAAGTACCAATTTTCACTTTTTGAGACCAAAGCAAAATAAATCAATGTATATTAATGTAAAGTGGATCATCTATTGGAAGTCAGTAATACATTCTATGGAAAAGGTAAATGTTCAGAAATTGTATGAAAGTGATTGTGAGATGAAGGGTCAAAAATAAACAACACTGGATTCTTGCTAACACCAGGAATTGAGGAAGCTGAGGCTGATGTTTCCTCAGACCAGCTGCTCTTGGGATATATAGAGCCAGGTGTCTTAGAGCATGACAGTATATAAAGAGGAAAAGGTACAAGAAGTTCTGTCCAGGTTTAGAGCAAATTTGGGGAAGAATCCCCCCAAAGGAGCTCCGGTGGGAAAAGCAGATCCAATCGGCCCCTCCCCCCAACTGGTCCGGGAGGAAAGAAAAATACCTCCTTGGAGAAAGGTGGAAAAACCCCCCTGTTTATTAAACAATAAGACCAAAACAGTATCAAAACAATGAGACCCCTTGCCACTCTAAAAGAGATGACAAACTGAGAAAACCCCGCGTTCAAGCAGCAGCTCACTCAGTCTCTGATCAGTCTCTCAGTGCTGGAATTGTCGCAGGCCAGGGCCGGCCCGGTGGGCCACAGCTGCAGCTGCCGGTGCTCTCCTGGGTGTTCAGTCCAGAGCAGTTCCAAGAGGTCCAAAGAAAAGGGAAAAAAACAGTCCAGGGAACTTCTTTGCCTCAGCTAGCTAACACTAAC